TCGCTCTTTGCCTTATGATCTCTAGCGCCCATACACAGACAAGCACTCGTTCACACCCGTGAGCACATTTACAATCCCCCACATCGTCTTGTGGTGTCTCACACTCCGCATATACGGCGGGTCAGAAAGTGGGGCGATTACTTCTAGGTTGTACGCAGCCATACCTAATCACACAATACACAACCCGCATGTACAAATTTGTATATAAACCATCTCGCCATATACATCACAGTCTTATACACAACCATGTACAACACTCTCCTCGCTGTAAACCCCAGGCCCTATACACACACACAACATCATGAACCATCTCTACATACTATACACACACACAACATTATGAACCATCTCTACATACTATACACACACACAACATCATGAACCATCTCTACATACTTCTCTTTGTCATGCAGCGCGGTCCACTCGGCAACCGCTGCATGGTGCAGGTGCAGCTGATTGAACTCTGGATAGACCACCCCGAGCGCATACGAAAACACCTGGAAGGCATGCGGGGCCGCTCCCATGACCGTACACAGACGCTTACAATCCATCCGATGGGGCTTCGATTCGGTGGGCACAGCGGGGGTGGCTGTTTGGGTGTCGTTGTGTGAGTGTAGTTGGGTGCTAGTGTCCGGAATAGAGGTGACTGGTGCTTGCACGACCTCTGTCTCTCTCAGCTTAGAGCCGCTCGATGCAGTCACCAATTCCTCAGCCGGTGATACGTTTTCGGTTCTCGATACGTCTTCTGCACCAGATACGCCAACTGCCCTGAATCCGTTTTCCGTCCTCGATACGTCTTCTGCACCCGGAACCTTCGCAGCTTCTTCCGTCACCGTATCCCGTGTCTGTTGTGGTCCATTCGCTCTCTGTCGCATGTCATTAGGGTGTGCTTCGTGTGCTTGTGGCCGTGTAGACTCCCCCACATGTGCCCTGTGCTTGGTGCTGTCACTGCCCCTGTGGCGTGCACCTGTGTAATTGATGGCCTGGGCCGCACTTGTCTGCGTGTGTGTGTGTGTGTGTGTGTGTGTGTGTGTGGTCACGTGTGGCTGTGTGTTGGTATTCGGCCGTTCATCTATGCTTGTGTGCGTGTCCCTATGTGTTTGTGTGAGAGGGTGTGTGTCCTTGTGGGCGTGTGTATCTGTATCGGTATGTGTCTCCACTGGAGTGTGCAAATCAATGCTTGTGAGTGCGTCCACACCCATGGGCGTGTTGGTTCGTGCGTTGGCCTGTTCGGTACCCGACAACTCTGAAGTAATCTCACTAGCTCCGTTGGACCTCGAGATAACAGGGTTGTTTTGTCCTGAATTTGGGACAATGTTCTGAACTAGGTTTTGGATTGTATCCTGGTCTGAGTCTGTGGCATTTTTCTTGATCAATTCATTGGCACTGTCCCGTCCCGAATTGGACTCCTGGTCCATTTTTCTGTCCGGATTCTGAGGCTCCCTCCCAGTCGCTGACTGGACCCGGGTTGACCCCAATTGGGTCTTATCTTCCAGCATAGCACTTGCCCGCTCGTGCACGTTTACTTCATACGCGTTCCCTGCAGCGTTACTAGCTACAGCTGTACCTGAACCATTCAACGTGGCCCACACCCCAGTGCACGCAGTCGCGTCTGGTGCCTCAGACGCCATAATCAAGGGCTGTCTACCCAAACTGTTCAGCAAAGCCTGCTGTGTTTCCACGTCCACGTCCATCAGACCCTCCTGCCCAGGCTTGGTTGCAGGCCTATTTATAGGTCCCAACATGCACCCATATTCACCCCCCGCCTCCGTCTCATTCGCCCGCGCAGAGTCGACCGCCGTTTCTGTGTCTCGCACCGTGTGCTGGTCACCGCGTGTTCCCGCATTCAGATGTGTCTGTACAATCCCGTGTACTCTCGTACTGTCTTGTGTGTGTGGGCTGGTGCCTTTATCGGCGTCTTCCCCAGTCACCGGTTGGTGTGCCTGTGCGTCACCCGGGACATCTCCTACATGAACCATCTGAGGTGCGTTTGGTGATAGAGTGCTGCTTTCTCCCTGTTGCCCGATGGTAGTGGTAGTGGTAGTGGTGGTGGTGGTGGTTATGTTCTCATGGGTCGTTGTGTGATCAACCGTCGCGGGTGTAGTTCTGACCTTCTTCCTTTGAGATCTGGCGCTCGCTTTCTTCTTCGGCGTACGCACCTGCACTCGAGTGTGTCGTGGATTGGATTAGGATTAGGGTGCGTAGCAAACAAGGTTTAGGGTTTGCACTTTGTTGAAATCAGGACATATGAATTGGGACAAGGACCAAAAAATGAATCAAAATCTTGCTCAGGCACATCAAGAATGGCGAGGAAGACTAAACTAAGTCCCGCGGCTAAAAAAATGTAGCCATGTTATACGTTTTCGGTCTCTACAACAACTAATTCTGTCTCGCCCCCCCTTCCAAACCCCTAAAACCCGTTCTCACAAGTCAGCTCTAGTGCAATACGAGCACTATGAACGCTAACTGCGCATGACTCACAACACACTCGAAGGCTAACGAAATGATCACGTACCGCTGATTCGCCCTCTGCGTTCTGAATTCGATCCAATGCGATCTCCTCTGCCAGCCGTTCCTTTCTTTTCTCGCGCAAATGATCTCGCAGGATCTGTGAATTGGCGAAAATGAGTATTGTAAGAGTGT